TAATAATAATAATTTAAAAAATCTTTCTTAGGACCAGGCAGTTGTATACTTTAGTTATAATGAATGACTTCATGTTAACCTTGCTAGTTTAGATCATTTCTGAGGGAAAGTATTGTAAATGTTTTTTTCATAACCTTGTTGTGTTTGAATTATTTGTACTTTAATTGTCCAGACAATAAATGAAAGTGTGTAGAATGGCTATGGACTTTCCACCTTTTTAAGTGTGTTCAGATGTTTTAGTGTTCCCAGCCGCACCTCAGCCGAGGTCCAGGTTTAGTCTCTGATTCCAGAAGCAAGGTCTTCAAGAGAGAAGCGTTCTAGTCAAACCAGATTGAGCATATTCATGATTTGTTTTTCCTTCCGAGGGCCAGAAAGAATCGGCCGTTTAATTTAAGATGTTGAACACCAAATACCAAACTGTAACTTTCATTTATTTGAATGTGGAAGATGCTGAAGGGTTTCTACTATATACAGTATTTTTACACAATGAAAATATTAACTCAGTCAATATCAACACTTTAAATCATAGTGAGCAAATTTCAGTGATAACAGTTTTTAAGCCATCATTTAGTTTGACTTTTCTATGAATATGCTATGAATGTCATGCAATATGAAACAGTGTACATATTGTCTGATGTACAACAGTATATATGATCACATTCCAAATTTGATTCTTTTCACCATGTGTTATAACTAGAGTTGATACTTCTTTCAGTTGACTTGTTTGAATCTCATTAATACAAATATTCACTTCATGTTTATGTTCTGTAACATTCACTAATTGAGAATATGTACCTTGTAAAACTGCAGCATTGAATTTCGTAACTGAGATTAGGAAACTCTATCAGAGGGCTGGATGGACTGTGTGGTTCTTCAGCTCCTTCACCTATTAATAAACTCGTGTTTTTGTGAGATTAAGTTACCATGTTGGTTATAATAATTAATTTCAAGCCACAGAATGAGTTTGTTCTTAAATTTAGAGCTTGCTCAATTCATCCTTAAATCCACCTCACCACGCCATAGGAAAAAGCAGAACTGGTTAATTTGGTCTTTTTAAAGACTTGGCTCTGAAAAACATCATCCTTCCATCTACCTATATATGTATATACACATATTTTGATCATATACATATATATATACACACCTTACAACATGCATCAGCCCATTTAAAAAAAAAAAAGCACTTCACTTTCCATTTAAGAAAGTGATATTTTATAACCAGCACTATTTACTATGGTTCTATCTTCTTTGTAGCATTTGTTAGGGTTGTCACCTAATTTTTCTGCAGTCCTTTCTTCAGAAAGTAGTGAGACCAAAACCACTGTATGGTCTGGATGCTCTTAAGACAGAACACAGCTGGCACTGGGGCCAGTTTTGATTAGCTCCACACTTCCACTGAAGGGTTGGCTCCTTGTCTTTACCTCTCCCACAGAACCTGTTTCTCCATTCAGCAGCTTGGTGAGCTCCTGTGAGCTGGAGCACACCAGTAACATGAGAGAAAGGATTCTGCTACCTTTAGGGATCTGGGATGCAAAGTTCAGTCCCCTTTTGGGGGTATCACAAATGGGAACAGGATAAAAACAGTCTCAGACTGGTTCCCTGTGCTGCTCCTATGGGAGCATTTTCAGAAAGTTTTACTGAACCACAGTTTCTGCCCAGCTGGGATCAGAACCACATTTCACTAACACACATTCAAAGTAATCAAGGTTTATATTTCCTTCTTGAAAGGGTAATCACTCTTTCTGCAATTAGTGAGCCTGCTGCATAAATGGAAAACCACCTGGGGGAGGGTGTTTGAAGTGCATTCACTTTGTGTTCCACTTCAGCTTACCTTAGACACGGAGCTGGGCTTGGAGCGCACTGAGAGTGGAGCATGTGTTGGGAAATAGCAGCTGACAGCTCCAGGGGAGCAGGGAGCCACCCTTAAATCCACTCTGAGGCCATTCAGCTTTCCTGGTGCCCCTGGGTTTGTGGCAGCCAAACACACGAGCACTCTGGTGCTCCTTTCCAGTGGGAAGGGTGGGTAGGGGGGTCTGGGTACTTGGATCAGCCTCAGGGTCACTGAGGGGAGAGGCACACCCAGGGCTGTTCAGGGAAGCCTTTCTCCATCACCAGAAGCCAGGCAAGGCTGTTACCTTGCACATCTCACTGACGTGGCTACAGAGGGATGAGGTCAGAGTGTGGTGACAGCAAAGATTTGCTCCCTGCCCCGGAGCTCTTGCAGGCTGAGCTCCCTGCACAGGAGTAATTCATTGTGAGTACAGAGCAAAGTGAAAGGAGATCAAATCCAGCATAACTTCACAAAAGCTCTGACATCTCAGAATAATACAGTGTCTCTCTTCTAAAGATACCTGACTTCCTAATCCCAGGAGATGGGATGGAGCCACTCCAGCTGAGCCTCAGCAGCTCACAGGGGACACATCACTTGGGCACAAACAGGGGCTGCTGCAGGAGGGAAACACAAGGCACCAGCCACACACAGACACAAATCCTGTGGGATGCTGCGCTGGGCATTGCTGCAGTGCAGCCCCATGCTCGGCACAGTGCCTGCATCCCAGGTGCTTTGAGGGTACCTTCAGTGCCTGGGGAGTGGTGGTGCTGCTGCAAGAGGCACTGCTGAGGCTTCTCCCAGAAACACTGTGTGCCACCGGTGTGCTCGAGGAATTCCAGTGGGATCACATGCAGTATGGCACCAGGGTGATCAAAACAAACTCTGAAGTCACCAAGCTTGAATTGTTTCTACCTCCCATAAACACAACACCTGTGTTTTAAAAAGCCAGCTCCTGTAAATCTTCCCAGAGCTGAGCATTAGAAAGGGCTGTAAGAAGAAAAGTGCCCAAAAGGAGGGCTTATACAAAGGCACCCTGATTTAGCTCACCCACAGTTAAAGACAAGAAATCAGACTGGTTCTTCCAGATTGGCCATTTTCTGAAATACTCTTTCTACTCACAGTAGAAATAACTGGGAGGATGGATACACACACACACGCAACAGCTGCTTTTCAGACACAGTTGGAAGTTTTGCTTGCCACACTCCTAAGGTATCACTGATATTTTTAAATGCCAGTCCAGCATATTTTAAAATATTTCATCTAAAATTTCACTGAGAGTTTAAATATTACCAAGCTGCAAATTTTTCCTTGTGCAGTAGCAAAAAATAAAATCCTAAACCCTCTATTCTGTTCATTCCACAATAAGCCTCCTGTCTCACATCACTGGGGTTTGGAGCTGCCAACAAGCAAGACCCAGCTACTGCTGCTTGCAGGAAAGCAAAATCTGCAGCAGGTTCATATTCCCTGTCCCAGAGAGCAAGCAAACCCATGTGCTAAGGGGAGCATTGCTTTGCCAACAGGTCCAGAAGCTTGTTTTTGTCACCAGAACCACGTCTTGTCCCCAAGCCCTCCAGCCCAGCTACCAGCCTCATGCTGCTGAGACCCCCAGGCCCCTGTCAGGTGTGACATCCTCATCCTCTCACTGGGGCATCCTTGGGGTGAGCCCAGCCTTGCTCTGGAGTCTGAAGGACAGATGACACAGGATTTACTTCTCTGCCAATCCACCCCATGGCACAGGGTCCCCCACACTGGGACTCTCCCTGCAGGCCCACAGTGCCCACTGCATCACTGAAAATAACCAAATTCCCTAAATTCCATTTCTGATCAGCCATCGCAGTGGCCCAGTAGCCCTCACGCAGGAGGAGGAGCAGGTGAACCACCACCTCTGGCCTTATTTTGTCCATCCTGAACACCTGCTTAACACCACAGTCATTCAGGCCCTTTCCAAGGCCACCAGTGTGACCCTGTCCCCGACAAAGCCACATTTTTGGTGCAACCCAAGCACATGGTGCCATGGGGCTGCTGAGTGCCTGACCTCCCCTGAAATGCTCCAAGTTCTCTTTCTCCTCCAAAACCAGGCAGGGAACCTGGGATGCTGCATGGCCAGGGCACAGGTGTTTCATAATGACACAAGAGTTTATCAAATTAGAGGAAACAAAAATCCCCTAAACTCTGAAAATTATTATAAGCAATGCCATTGGAAGAGCAATTATCTACAAAAAAAATCCCTGCCAAAGGAAAAGGGTTGAGTTTGGAGCCTTGGCTGTGCTGGGGTATCACTGTGTGTGCCACTGAGTGTGGCTGAACTGCCCCAGAAACCTTCCCAAGCAACACTGAGGCAACCTGGCAGTCCCAAAATGCTTAATTTTATTTAGTGACTTTTAAATACACACAGTCATTACCTCCTCAGTCTGAACATCAGGACTGACTAGAGTTGCCACAATCCATTTGTTTAAAGCATCACTAAGGGCTTTTCCTCCTTGCATTTTGTTGGAATTGCACAGGTCCCAGCAAAATGATATGCAAGAATTAGCTTTTTACGAACAATACAATTCTGATTTTAAATCAGCACATGAGACAATTAATTTTGTAAGATAAGGAATCTGTTGCAAATATACAGCAGTACACCCACACATCACCATCTGCTGTGGAGAATTAAATGTACAACTCACAAATTAAATCCTGCAAAGTTGGTGCAAAAAGGTCCTTGCCTTGAATTTAAACAAGGCTGTGGAAACCTGCAAACACATTGCAAAAGATCATGAAAACAATAACAAATTTGTCCATCTGTGAGTCAGTTCTAGCAGGGTTGGGGTTTTGTTTTGTTTTTTTATATTGGTGCATTTGCAATAAATGTTGCAGCTCACAATGCAAGTTGTGTAAACTGTATTTGAGCTCTCCTGGCCAGGAAAAGTCACTCTTGGAGGTGCTCCTTACACGTCCCATGACTTTACCCCAGGTCTTCTATTCTTACAGAGAGGAAAAACAAAACAGAACACAAAATTCCTTTTTTTTTCATACTCAGTTTATTGAAGAAAAAAAAAATATTGGCAAATCTGGCAATTGTTGTGGATGTTTTGTTATTAGATTTATTAACAAACACTGTTCCACTGAAGTGAGGAAAAATAAATATCAACAATTACTGCTGCCATGAAAAAATTCTGACAAGCACAAATATCTGCATCCCTTTGACTCCCCTGGAGCCAAACCTTCATTCTCTGATTTTCCCTCACATATTCTTTTAGCACGCTGCTTTTCATTTATTTACACCTGGCAGAACCATCTGAGACTAAGTCACATTTCCACAAAAATTGCTCTGGATTGGTGTTCTCAGGGATTTTAGCAGAGTTGTGGGGTTTTTTTGAAAATGAAAAGATTTCCTAAACCTTTTCTGAGATGCATGTGCTGCTTTAACACACACTTATCCTCTCACACACCTGGGAAGTGCTCTCAGTACACACACCCCGAGTATAATTTATGCTGAGGGGCCTGCTACATGTTTAACTCAGATAAAGTGTATCCATAATTAAGAACTGCAGCATCAGAGGTGCGAGGCGCAGGGAAATTCGCGGAAAGGATCCTATCGACGGAACGAATGCTGCCGAGGACTATTTAAAACCACAACCTAATCAGAATACTACGCCTCTCTATATATTTATATCAATATCAGCAACCCTTTGACATCCCCAGCACTGCTAACACTCTGCCTGGAAGCCGACTTATCGCAGCTGCCTTGGGCACACTCGCATGCATAAAAAATCAAGTGACTTGATTAATCAGGCGAAGTTGCTGAATCATGGGCTTGCAGCCCTGCCTGCCCAGCCCGGGCTATCCATGGGAAACTGGCAGCCTGACACTGGGATTAATCCCTATCAGCTGGTCTGCAGACCTGTGCGGCCCTTTGCCAGCATTTTTTTTTATGAGAAATAGAATCTTAAACATTTCAGGCCTGAAAAAATAGCCATGTCAAAGGGATGGGAGTGTGTGAGAAGAGGATCCGACGCCAAGTGGCAAAAGGGAAGTGGAGCTCAGGAGAAGAGAGAGGAAAGCTGGGAGCAAGAAAATCCTGGCTGCACCTGGAAGCACAGCCAGAGGCAGCAGTGCAGGTGTATCCCAGCTTGAGCAAACCCTGTCTGAAATTCAGCAGCCCCACCAAGGGAAGGGCAGGAAGAAGTGAGGGATGTGTGATAGGGGTGGGGATGGAAAGCAAAAGTAGCCAAGCTGTAGCACCAGTGCAACCACACCTGGAAAATGGGAGCACTTATGGGTCTCCTGGGCATGAGCTGCCTTGCCTTGGGCTTTCAGAAGTCAGAGAGGCTGGGGGGAAAAAAAATTTCCTTAACACATAAAGAGCAATTTGTCCAGAAGTAAAAAAGATAAATGTTTGGGGGATATGTTTTATTTGATACTCCTTGCAAGGCTTACCCTGCCCAGGGTCCAGCAAGCTTCACCTGCTCTCAGGACGGCTGGGGGCTTTGGGAGAAGGAGCTTCCTTTCTGTGCCAGCCTGTGTCTGGAAAAAAGGAAAAAAAAAACCCTTGGAAACAATTCACTGAGCCCTACAGGGACCATGTGCAGCAGCCCTGCTGTCTGGCCATGTCAGATGGGAATGGTGCTTTTTGTCTTGGAGTTCAAGCCCTCCCCTCCAAAGACATTATCCTTTGGTTGGATCTTCAGGTGAGACAAACGGCCAGTGCTCCTCTGAAGGACCCTGCCCCAGCTGCTTTCTGCTAGGAAATCAAGAAACTTTTTGTTTAAAGAAACACATTTGCCAAATCTTTACTACCAGGCAGCTGGTCGAGGCTTTTGCTTTGCTTTTTCAGAGGGTAAGTTAAGTGTCCTTGAATGAGTGTCTGGAATAAAAGGAAAAGGAGGGCAAGCGCCCTTTGTGCCAAACCTCTTATGCTTCCTCCAGTGTGACTCTGCTGCACTTGTGAATAATCATATTAACATATATTAGCAGAGTTGTGTGCCAGTAATGGAAGAGATTGTGAAACCACAGTACCTTATCTATTAAAATAGCCAGAGCAATAATATCATGTCAGCTGAATTAAAAAGCAGAGAAGACACCAGTCAGGTTGATCACCGCCTAAACCCAGTGTATTTTTGGCTACACACATATATATCTCAATATGAACTGACTCTGTGTGTATTTTCAATATTAAGAGATAAAATACTGCTCTTTGTCATGTTATAAACCAAGTTTGTGCAATGGAACAGATTTTTAAAGCTAAGTTAAAACCTCTTGAGACTAAAGGTTTTATAATGGAAATGCTGACAGACTCTTAACTGGAGCACTGGGATCTCTCTTGCTATTATGACCAGATAAACCAACAAGGTAATTCAATGTAGTGTTCCAGCTCCAAGACACTAACACACTCCTTCTGGTCCCAGGTGCTGAGGGGAAGTTAAATATAAAACCTAATGAAACTGCTGTGACTGACTACAGGGCTGGCTGTTTGCCCCTGCACCAGGGAAAGGTGAATTTCCCTCCTGGGAAGGTGTCTGAAAGGCAGGCTGGTTCAAGTGCAAGCTCTGGCTGGAGCCTTCTAAACTTCACAGAAGTCAAATGGCTTCCTAAAGCCTAATGGGTGGCTGAAGTTGGAAAGCTGTGAGAATCAATCCCAGTCTCTGCACACACACCAAGAACTGACTGGAAACTTCAGACAGGTCCAATACTCCACACACACCACACAAGGGTGCTGGGGGCAGGATGTCTGCTCACAGGGGCTGGGGCACACAGACCTGCCCTCCCTCCCTGCAAAATTACCCCAGAAGCCTTCAGTTCAGCAGCTCAAATGCCAGGGAACCCAGCTCTGCTCTCAAAGCACAGCATCAGGGAAGCTGGGGTGCCACCCCTGGCCCCAGAGGCAGGAGACAGCAGTGGGGTTGTGCAAAGCTGGCACAGCAGCTCTCCAGCTTCTGACCAAACAGACAGCAAAGCTGCCAGCATCAGGAATGCCATTCATGCCATGCTTTGACACCCAGAAAACTTTGCTACTGCTTTTTGTGCCACTTATAATATCACCAAGACTACTGGGGGGTGCACACCCTGCCTCTACCTACACATGAAGCCCTGAGCAAAGGTCCCAGGGTTGGAGGGCTGGTAGCACTGCCTACTGTCAAGACTTTCTGACATTTCCAATTACAAGACTCTATTTTCAGCTGCTTATAACTGTCATATTTTGACCAGTAACTTGTCATTTTTCCATCCTGGGCATCTGCCGCAGGCTGAATTTTTTTGGAAAGCTTCAGCCAAAACAATATAGCTATTCCCAAGGGCAAGGCCAGGGAACAATGCACTGTTTTGTAATTGTAAAAGAGAAAAAGAACTGACATCCTCTTCTTTAAGATGCACCACGAGGCCTCACAGTTTGGATAGGGGAGTAGAAATTCAGTCGATCTGTGACCTTTGTATTAAGGATGTGCCTTTTTGTTACTGCCATGAAAATCTATGCAAGTGTGGCCAAGTGAAAGCATTTGGAAAAATTCCAACCTGACTTCTTCAGCAAACACTTTTCTTTCATTGAGAATCCTAAAAGCTTTGAGGATCCTCTTCTGCTGGGCTCATCTTGCCCTCCAGCTTGTGCATAAGGGAGTAGCCCCATCCCAAAGGCAAAGAAATGGGAGGAGAAAAGGCAGAACTGGAACAAGGAGGAGATGGAAGGGAGCAGGCAGAGTGATTTGCACCCACCAGAGCTGCTGGCTTTCCAGGGCAGGGAATGGCATCCAGGATCCTGTGTCTCAGCATCAGGAGGCTGCCAGGAAGTGCTGTGAGATCCCACTGTGCCCACTGGGAAGCAGCAGCTTTTACAGCTCCTGGGTTCACAGCCCACCAGCAGGAGCTGCAGCTGGAAGTGCTCCACACTCTGGAAATCAGGTGCCAAAATGAGCAGCAAACATTTAGCAGCCCCATGCAAAAGGCTGGGTTAAACTCCCTTCCCAGGCCCACTGAGCTTTTGGCAGGTCCATCCAGGCAGCTGAATGGGGACAGACTCCCGTGCCCAGCTGCATTCCCACAGCCCTCCCAAATCTGCTGCAAACAAAGCAGGCACCTGTGGGAAAGCATCCCTGACTCACCTGTGCTCCCAAAGCCATCCTGGGCACCAGCCTCTCCTGCACCCAGTCCTGTGACAACAAAACCACACACAAGTGGTGCAGGGGGCTTCTGTTCGTGGACTCCCTGAATTTTTACTCCAGGAATACAATCCTTCATTATGCCCTTTGAATATGGAAATACAGGAGAGAGAAAATGGAGGCTGCCAGGACAACTCTCCTTTCTTGAGAGTTGTCTTTGATTGGCACATCCTTCCTTTACAGAAAGCTGATTTTTATTACTGCAATATATTTATTTTGAAACTCAGTTCATCTGCTGTAAGAAATTACTCAGACCATTAATTCTGGAAGCCAATGCTGAGAGATCATGAATGTTAAGAATTCTAATTATGTTTGGTCTGGAAAATTTAATGAATAAAAGAGACTTTTCATAAGAATCTCAAGCCATAATATTTTAATGCTATTGGCATTAATTAAAATATCTGGAATTTTTAAAGGAGTCCTCTCCTTCTCCCTTTAAATATTTTACTCCTACCATTAGAACAGAAACAGAATTTTGCTAAAGCCACAAAAAAAAAGTGTTCTCTCTGGCTGATCATCTCATTTATAATCGTGTCATGGCGGGAACAACCTTTCGCTGAAATTTTGTTTATGCTTCAAAAATTTTTCTCCTAATAACATCTTCCCCACCCCCCTTCCCAAGCACTAGCAGGCCTGGATTTGCCTTCTGTGCAGGGCTAGGGAGATAAAAGTCCAGATGATTTGGCTTCCTACAAGGGACTGAGCTCTCAGTGCCTGATAAATGACACTATCCATCTCAGAAGGTAGTGATTCCCTCCTTTAGAGCTTAGGGGCAAAAAATAGCCTAACCTTTGAATTCATGCTTCATCATCCTCGTCTGGCATTTGTGGCTTTCTGCAGGACACAGGGCTCAGTGCTGCCCTGCTCCCCACACCAACCAGCACAGCAAACACCTGGCAAAGAGGGGGCACCTGCTGCTCTGCAGGCACCCTGGGTTCCCATGGGTTTGGTGCTGTGTCCTGGGTGCACAAAAAAAAGCAAATTTCTAGGGGAACCCTTGCACTGCAGGGTGGGCAGATCGTGAGTGCCAAGGTCTCTGCTGCTTGTGCTGTGACCAGTGGCAGCAGTGCTGAATGCAGAGGTTACAGAAGCTCTGGCTCTGAGGTCTTGGGAAGTGGGCTCATTCCCTGACTTGAGAGCTCAAATGAGCTCAGAAAGATAAAAGGGTTTTTTTTTTTTTTTGTCTCTGATCTTAAGCTCGCGGGTTTTTACTTGGATTTTTCTTAGTATCTAAATATACAGTCGCTTGCTAGTTAGTAATAGTGGGACCTCACCTTGTTTGATGGTGTTCTCAGTTTTTAGAGTGCCTAATTAAAGGAAGGACACAGGAACTGCCAGTGCTCAGCCATTGAGAAAATGGAGCCAGTGGGTTTTCCAGGCACTGAATGTGCCAGGAGCTGCCTCAGATGGAGCCAGCACTATGCCATTGCCTGGGCAAGGCAGGGGCAGGTGAATGGAACATTAGGGGCAGTGAAGAAGCTGCCATGCCCTCAGACACATTTTAAAAGGCTTTTTCTCTTGAAAAGGCCACAACTGTAGTTGTGAAATTTGAAAAGTGAAAACAACAAAATAGCATTTTGCAGTGGATCAGGGGAAGCAGTTTCCACAAGAACTGGAAACAACAGAAGGAGGAGGTTGAGCTTTATTTCTACCAAATTGGGCACAGCCTCCTCTGTCTCAGAGGTTCTTGGCACACGACAAGGCTGCTCCTGTTGGGACTCTGCACATCATCGCTGCAGAGAGGCAGGTCACTGCTCCCTGGCAGCGCCTTCTCCAGCACAAACATGCGGATTCAGCAGGCTGCCAAGCCTGCCTCTGCTTATTTCTGTGCTGGGCACAGCCAGGTGTCACACAGGTGAGGTTGCACACAGACACACAGGAGGCCCAGAGGGCTTTTATCTATTTTCTCCATGTGGCTGAGAGAGCACTCAAAGGCACCTGCTGATTCTGTATGTTCGGTGCCGCAGAGAGGAAAATCGATGTGGGAGCTACAGATGGCTTCAGTGGTACAGGCTATTCCAGCCTGCTTTCCTGATGCAAACACAACTGATTCACTCTTAGTGCCTTAACTTCACTGACCAGTGTATTTTCAGAAATATTTCATTATTCAAAGACAAACACTGAAGAAACATGTTGTAAACATGCCTGGTTCTTTCAGGTGGAAGGAGGTGAGAACCATTTGTGCTGAAGCATTTCAGAGACTTGTTTTAGTGACTTCACGTGGTTTCAGGAAGCTTTTCCTCTCATATTGAGCTGCCTTTTGCAGGTGTTTTTTTTTCCCTACACCTTGGGATCCAGTATCATTTCCTTGTTTTTTCTGCACTCCAGTGCTATCAGCCATCCTCAAGTGTTTGTCTCATCACTTTCAAGACTGCACCCCTACCCAGGAAAACAGTGAGGGACAAACTTTCTGCTCTCTGCAGGCATTTCTCCCAATAAGCTGGAAAATAATGTTTGTTTGGCTCATATTCTTAGCTAGCTGCAGACTCCCCACTGATACCCCCTGCCCTGTCAATTGCTAACTAATCGTGCCTGCAGTAAAAGTAATCCAAACTGGGGAGTTATTCAGCAGCAGCAGAAGGATCCATTAAAACAGATGATGCTCTGTGCTCCATTTCTGTCCTCATCCTCGGGGATCACCCTGCCTGGGCTCTGCCCCAGGGCACACCCACGCTCTGCAGAGTCACCCTGGAGTGTCCCCTCCAAGGGCTGCCAGGCTCATCTCAAAGGGACAGGGCAAATCCAGGCCAGGGGGGCTGTCCCCGAGGGACCTGGCTGCCAGGGGATGTTAACAGACAGGAATGCTCTCCAGGAATGCTCAGGGGCAGGAAGATATCCAGGGGGCTGCTCTGATGGTTTTTCAGCTTTCTTATCCTTGACACACAGGCAGCAAAGTAGCTCAGTATTTGGTTTGACTGAGGCTTCAAGGGGAGCAAACCCCTATAGTGTTCAGGCCCTAGGGAGGCAAAAAAAAAATGCACAGTGGTGACGTCCTGGAGCCAGTTCAGCCTTGAAACTCAGTGGCTGCCTAGCAGCAGGAGAGACCCCGGCCTGGAGGCTGGAGCGGGGTTTCTGAAGGCCTTTGGAACAGGCCTGTGGTATTTCACAAAGTCATAAACTCACAGAATCCTTTGGGTTGGAAGGGACCTTAGAAATCATCCCCTTCCACTGTCCCAGGGTGCTCAGAGCCACAGCCTTCATGGCCTTGGACACTTCATGGACGGCACAGCCACAGCTCCTCTGGGCAGCCTGTGCCAGGGCCTGCCCACCCCACAGGGAGCAATTCCTTCCTAACAGCAAATCTATACCTGCCTCTACCAGTTAAAAGCCATTCCCCCTTGTGAAAAGCCTCAATCTACATTTACATCCCTTCCCCTGAGAGTGGATTGGTTCCAAGGCCTTTATGTCTGTCCCTGTGGGTTTTGTTGCCCCTGTGAAGATCAGCTCAGGCTCAGCCTTGCTCCCAGCATTGGCTTCCTGGAGATCCTGCTGTACAGAGTAACAAATACATCCCTGTTACACCCGTGAGCTCAATTCAGGCACCTCCAGCTGGGATATAACCCCTCCTAACAACACCTGGGGTGCCCTGTGGGGTCAAGAGGCCCTGGAGCTGGAAGATGAGGGGCACTGATCGAATGGAGTCACCTCAGCTGGGCCCTGCACCAGCCACCATTGCTGCTCCAGAGAGCTCTGTGCACATGGCTGGACCTTGCTGGGCTTCCTCTCCCCACTTTGCTTAATTGTGTGACATTAAAGCCACCCCTGAGCCAGTAGGACAGGCGTGTGCAGAATGTACCTATTTACCTTGCAGGTTTTTAAATTCAAATGGGTTATGTAAAGCAGCACAGTCTACACAATTTAAATTGGCCTGACTTCTGAAAGCTGCAGGTTCCAGGACCTGAAAGAAAGCCTGCAGCTAGGCTGAGTATCCAAGGGAGGTCCTCCTGGCATACAAAGATCAAGCACAATCTGAAATTCAAACATACCTTTACGCTCAGTTTTTATCTTATTTCAGTTTCACGCAAAATAATGTTGCCCTAGAAATGAAATTTCCCCACATGTCTGGCACGGCTCTACAATGGCCATTTAGTGGAGCAGTAAAGCAAAGCACCAGGTACTTGACAGCTCTTTTTGTGTCACTCCCACCATGCCTTCTAATTCCAGAGAGCTGCTGCCATGTACTCCAACAGGGTTTCTTTGCTTTCCTGAAGCAGTTACATGACTTAAGAGCTTGGTCATCTCTCCTGCTAATAGGAATTGAGGAATTGTACATAGGAGGGGCACACGGGCAGAAAGCCCTGCACATTAAAATCAAGCTTGCTCAGGACACCACTAATATCATCCACACAGCTCTGCAAAAGGAATTTTTATTATTTTCCCAGCTTAACATGCTAGCATTAATATTTCATTACTAGATTTCACTATGATTTTGGTCCTGTTACTGTCTCAACCAATTTATTGCTTGAGAAGGTTATTTTTAATCTTCAGCAGTAACTGAGAATATACCCTCAGAAAACCTTTCCCAATGTGGAATTTCTTTGCTGTTTCATTATAATTGAGGTGATGCTGTATCCAACAGCTCTTTATGAGAACAAAATATATTTTAAGAGAAGAGGGAGGTTTATCAGTTTCTAGCTG